CCCTTGTCAAAAATCAGTTGACCATAGATGTATGGGTTTATTTCTGGACTCTCAATTCTATTCCATTGGTCTGTCTATTGTTGTATCAGTACCAGTCTGTTTTTATTACTGTAGCTATAATATATTTTAAAATTTGGAAGTATGAATCCTCCTGCTTTGTTCTTCTCTTTCAGCATTGCTTTAGTTAGCTATTAAGGGCTTCTTTCCATTCCACATAATGTTGAGGATTGTTTTTTTCCATTTCTGTGAAGAAGGCTGTTTGAATTTTGATTGAGATTGTGTTGAATCTATAGATCATTTTGGGTAGTATTGACATCTTAACAATATTAAGTCTTCCAATCCAAGAACATACAACATCTTTCCATTTATTTGTCTTCTTTAATCTCTTTCACCAGTGGTTTATAATTTTCATTGTATAAGTCCTTCACATCCCTGGTTAGATTTATTCCTTGGTATTTTATTCTCTTAGATGCTATTGTAAATGGAATTGTTTCCCTAATTTCCACTTCAGATTTCTCATTGCTGGTGTATAGAAACCCAACTGATTTTTGTTTTTAACATTGTTTTTAATTGGTATAGGTTATCATATAGGTAGGAGCTCTGGTAATGTAGTGCCTAAGGCATTCAAACCCACCAGCCACTCCTTGGAAGGAAGGTTGGGCAATCTACTTCCATAGTGATACCATCTCGGAAACTCAAGGAGGGGTCGCTATGAGTTGGATATGACTCTGTGGCAGTGGATTTATCATGTGGGTTTCCTTAAAACAGGTGAAAATTAAATGAGTGGTTCCGTTCTCTGAGTTAGGGGCTCTGGTGGTGTAGTGCCTAAGGCACTTGACTGCTAACCAGAAGGTTGGTGGTTCAAACCCACCAGCCACTCTTTGGAAAACTGGGCACTCTACTTCCATAGAGATACCACCTCGGAAACCCAAGGAGGGGTCGCTATGAGTCGGAGATGACTCAACAGCACATAATAACAAGAACACATTCTCTGAGTTATACTTTTTGAATTGAGCAACAATGAATTAGAAAGGATATGTGACAGCAGTTTAGAGAGATAGGAATTGCTCCCAGGCTGATAAGATTAGATTGTGGCATGATGAAACATATTAACATCTATAAAAAATCGGTGTCAGCCGTGTGGCAGATAGAGGCTTATATTGCCTCCTTCAATCTGGGCCCACTCAGACCTATTCCAGGAAATAGGTACTCTTGTGCATAACTCACCATTTCATTCCAAGTAGCAGGTACCTATCCTCGCTGCAGTAAGCAACCTGATAGGACTAAGCAGTTGGATCACATAATTAACTCCTCTAATCTACAAAACAACCTTCTGATTGTAATTTGGTTTTGCATGTAGTTTATCTGCATGGAGAGGCTATAGTGGCTGGAAGACTTGAATGTCTAGCTCCAGATCCAGTTATAAGTGTCATTGGAAATCAATACATTAGGATTTTCATGTAAATTTTGGGATTGCGTTGTTAATGCAAGTGTGTTCCTGATTAATGAATCTGCTTTCTTCATACTAAGTAGACAATTGAGCTACATAGCTGAGATCCAAACCATGGACCATGATAGATCCACCAAGGTCATGCCCCCGCCCCCCCAAAAAAAAAACCACATCACATACCTAGCTTTAATTCATTGGTTGGAAGTGATTTATATTTTCTTTACTTGGGATTTCCACATGTGGTGGTGGTGATGTTCTTCAATATCACCATTTTGCTGAAGCAGGGTAGAGCATCCCAACTTCTCTCCCTGAATCTCTGGGCTAGATTAATATGACCAAGAAAGAAAGAAAGACCTCATTACTGCTGTTTAAGATCTCCCTCTGTGGGACTGTTATTCTGCTGGATACCAATTTATAGCAGACAGAGCTGAAAGGAACCTTAAAGATGAACTAGGCCCCTCTGCCCCCATTTTACAGTTGAGGAAACAGAGGTTACTTGCCAAGGGGCCATATTTTCTTTTTTCCCCCAAGAAAATCCCTTTTTTTTTTTTAAATTGTGCTTTGGGTGCAAATTTACAAAGCAGATTTGTTTTACATTCAACAGTTCATGCACATTTGACTTTACAGCCCTGATTATAATCCCCAGCCATAAAAAACTCTCCTCCCCTCTCTTCTCTGTGACTACCCCTCCCTGTGCCCTTCTTATCTGTGTATTCGTGTCTATCCAGCTTTCCCTCTATGTGAATGCTGCCCCTCTGATGTCTCATGGTTGATTGATCTAAGGGGTACATCTCCCTAGGGTAGGTGGGTGCATCCCCCTGGGGTAGGTGTTCTGCATGTAGGTCTTTCTACTGTTGGGCTGAGAACCAATCCACAGAAGTGAGTCCATTTCTAGGCCTGATGCATAACTCAGGACCATAGTCTCAGGGGTTCTACCAATCTCTCCAACCAGTAATTCTGGTCATTTTTGTATTTTTCAATTTTGTTCCACATTTTTCCTCCTACTCTAACCAGGGTCTCCAATTTTGATCCTTTTCCGAGTGGTTGACATTGGTAGCCACGTACAATCTAGTTCTTGTGGTCGTGAAGGCTGAGGTCCTCATGGTCTGTCATATTTTTGGATGAATGGTTTCCAAATGACTTTGAATTTCTCCACTCTTTCCTTCAGGTGAGAAGAGACCAATAGTTGGATCTTAAGTGGCTGCTCGAAAGCTTTTAAGACCCCGGTTGCTACTCAGCAAAGTAGGATGTAGAACAAGATTTTTATGTAGTGTCTTGGGCCACTTGATAATGATGTCCCCTGGGACTATGGTCCCAAGCCTGCAGGCCAGGTGAGTCTCTCTCTCAAGGTGTTTGGTTGTTTCTGAGAAGCTACTCCAACTCAGTTCTCTGTTACTTCTGTAATGTATGTGGATAATTTTGTAGCACAAGTACATATGTAAGATTATCTTGAGCCAAATTTTTTCTTGGTCTTGAGTATATTCCTGTTTGTCTACCCCTTCTTGATCTTCTCACCTGGCTATGCATTTACCCATTGCCTAGTGTTTGGTGCCACTGGTAATGTAATATTGTGCATGTCATGGAATTTGCCTCTGTTGTCTATGTCTTTTGTGCACGTTTCTTTGTCCTCCCTTTGCCCCTTGTCACCACCGTGCTGTTCACAGACTCTTTCCATACCGTCCTTTCCCTCACCCAAATCAACATGTGGCCCTCAAATAGTCTGACAATTTCCCCTCCCTTTCTTCCCATCCCTGGTAACCAACAAATTGAATTCCCTTCCCTGAGTAGACCTTTCCTTGACTTTTTACAATAATGGACTCATACGATATTTGTCCTTCTGTGATTGGCTTATTTTCTTTATGTTCTCTTAAAGGTCTCTGTGTCTAAGGCTTGAGTATATTGGCCTGGTCTCAAGTGACGTTTCAGTTACATTCTTCTTCCTAACCTGAGCCTCATCATTTAGGACTATGTTTCTAACTGCATCCTTTGTAGCCTGACTGATATTGTGGTCTTTTTGACCACTCTGGAGATAAATTTCATGGGAATTAGACCTATTTTTATCATGGCCAAAGATGCTGAATTTGTCATGTTGGGGTCTTTTTTTTTTTTCTTTTTGACTCTACATCCCAAATTATAGACATATGATTTCATGATCTTATAATGATCTTCAATATGACCTCTTTAACTAATAATCATTATTTACTCACAATCTGATTAAATTCAAGTAATTCTATATAAATTTGCAGTCTGAAATAGAAATTTCTTTTAATATTTTTATTCATGTTTATTTTAATCATAGTACTAATTTATATTCCTAAAATGATTTTCTTTCTCTTTTTTTCCCCTTGTTTTGGGTATGGAGTATTACATGTTTTAATTTTTTTTCCTCCAATGACAAACTATATTATTAGCTTAACATTACTTTTTCACATATATTTAAAATGTTTTAATAGCAAGTTATAAATGAATGTCTATTTTCTTATAATGCATCTATGCATTTCCAAGAGGGATGTGAGACAAAACATGTAAGTGCTCAGAGGGTTACTCAGGGAGCACTTCCAAGGAGAATTATGCTTTGAACAAGATTTTAAAAGAAGGTACAGATATGTACTGGTGAAGAGGAAGGGATCGGAAAAATGACAAGTCAAACTTATAAATTATGCATTCAGGACCTATATCAGAAAAACATAGAATGGATGCTAGGAAAAGTAATAAATGCCCACTGCAGAATGGTTAAGCAGGTAGTTGACCACTTTACCTAGGTGGAAAACCAAAGAGGGCTTCCAGTCTTGCTGATAAGACAAGACAACAAGAAGATAAAGGAGGACCCTTGAAAATCAGTAGGAGGGGGTTGGATCTTACAGGAATGTGATGGAGGGTGCCCTTGAGAGTCTCTTGTATCATTCTGCTTCTGTCATCTGCTCAGAAAGAGGCCTGAGCTGGGAAAGGACAAACTGAGTGGGTGGCTAGGTTTTAGAATCAATTTTGTAGCTATGTAATATCAATTAGCAGAAGAGCTTTTCCCCACACAAAATTATTTTGAATCACTTTAGAAAAAATGGGCTGCCTAAAATATTTTGTCCATGATTAACAATGAATGGAAAATCACTGGTTTGGCCTTGCAAACAACACTTAATGTCAATAACTTCGGGCACTTTTCTAATTTTACGGTAAATTTTTATACTGAAACTAATTTCAGAAGCTATTTAATCTATGGGCCGTGGTAGTGAAAAGGTGATGTGGTTAGACTAGAATAATGATACTACTTTTCTGTACCAAAGTATTGGCAAGGTACTGATGGCTCGATTTTGGTTCTGTCAGTTTGAAAGTAAAGGAAGGAGATCCAGCTGTTCTGGAAACATTTCAGGTTATGTTAAAAATAGCATCACTTTATAATACTTGTTATAAGGAATAATTTACGCTTTGCTTTTAGTGCATTGATTTATCTCCATCTTGGATCAGGCCTAAGAGAGAAAGTTTCTAGATTTTTGTTGGTTGTGTAGTAAGTTCTCTGATAATTGTTTGGTTTCAGGGTGTAGAAATGTAGATTTTATTTTTTCTCTTTCCTCTTTTTCTTTTCATTTGCCTCTTTGCTACTTGCAAATCGCTCTGTTATGTCTACCATTTCCACTGGCCTTCCAATGAGAGGTCTTCTGAGGTCCTTGCTTTCTTGGAATAGCATATGAGGCATATTTAAGTGCCTTACAACATTCCTTGGTTTATGTGGGTTTTGATCCACATGGATTGGTGGTAGGTCTCTGAAAGGCACCAACACAAAAACGACAGGAATCCTGGGGCCTGGGGTCAGGTTGGGTTGTAAATGGCCACTTGACACTTGAAAAGATTGTTTCCGGAAGACATTGTTAAAGGGGTAGCTCTCTAAAGCTGACTGCACTTTTATGTTCTGATTCTCTTTTGTCTGGGGAAGAACATCAGTGAAATAAGGCTTCACTCCTGCTATGGCATTGATTTTATATGCATTGTGTCTGTCAGCTAGTGCTCTTCCAGATAAGATGGGCTGGAAAATGGCTGATCCTGAGACACCACTCACAAAGTTGTGGAGGAGGGAATGCCAAATCCCACCACTTATTGGACTCAAAGTGACCTGTGGCCATAAGCTGGCCAGACTCCGGAGAGCTTCACGATTCCATGATGAAGCAGGAAAATCAGCCTCAGTATGATAAAGCTGAGAAAAGTAAATACTAAGAGTGACGTCTGGATACATCAGCAAGAAATTGTACATTTTGCTGATGCAGCAGTGGTTAGCTTCATTGCAAGGAGAGTTGTTGGAATACAGAATGATATGTCCAATGTTGTTGTTATTGTATAAGGCTGAGTCAAGATAACCTTTTGTCTCAAATAGCATAGATTCTGGATGAATATGGTTGCCAGTGCAACTGCTAGCATGGCCCTTTTGCACCAAGTTGCCAGAAGAAGATTTTAGTTCATAAAATATGAGGTGTTTTGTTTGAGAATGTATTGGTCCATAAGGAAATCCAAAAGTCTGACAAAATTCTGTGTAGGGAACTCTTGCTTCTTCACCTGTTCGAATATGGTAAGGGCAATTAGCACAAACTAGAGAGAAATTAAGCCAGTAGTAAGGTTTTACTATTGTTCCACAATCTGCCAGATATTCCTCATATAAGGGCTCCATTTCTAGTTTTGTTGTCTTCTAGCTGCAACCTTAAAAAAGGAAGAGAAATTATATATAAAAACTATGCAGGGTAAAGAGGGAGAACAATGTGGAACAAAACTCAAAATCATTTGGAGGCAAAAAAAAAAAAAAAAGAAGGTGGGGACCAGGTTTGCTGGTCCAGTAGAGCCTGGTGTAACCACTGAGACTATGGCCCCTAGCTGCCCTTCAGGTCTGGAATTGAACCCACAACTGTGGTTTCCAGCCAAACAAAGTACAGGCATGTGAGTTAAACATTTACCTCAAGTAGACACACGCCCTGGGGAGAACAATCATGGGAGTAGGAAGGGCTGCTTATGCACAGGGAGATAGCTCAGGGTGCAGAAGAGTATGAAGGGATGGACACTGGGAGGAGGTAACTATGGGGAGGAAGTGGGAGGGGAGCTGCTGCATTGTAAATTTTGGTCAATGACATGAGACAAAGTATATGTGAACTGCTGTATGAAAAGTGAATTTACTTTGTAAATCTTCACCCAAATCCTAAAAAAAAAAGAAAAAATAGTGGCATAAAACCATGAAAAAAACAAAACAAAACAAAACAGACTATTTGTTCTAATGAATATAAAATGTATTATATATTATTTTATTTACCATTAAAACAGTAGAAATGAAGTTAGATTTAAAAAAAAAAAAAACCATGCAGGGAAATCTAAGGACAATGCATTATTAATTTATTGTCATTTCTTCCTTTCAAGAAGGTAGCACAGTAAGTGTAGTAGCATCTTTGATTCTAAAAGACAGTGATATCTAGATTAGAAAGTTCAGAACTCATCTTTCTTTATTGAGATTCCTGGGGATAGGGAGGAAACAAAGGAGAAAGGCATCTTTACTAGTTTCTTACATTCCGAGACAGTAGAGCAAGTGGGTTAACAGTGCAGGTTTCAGAAACAAAGTGCCTTGTTTCAAATGTGAGCTCTGCCTCATAGCAACCCCTCCTTGAGTTTCCAAGGCAGTATCACTACGGAAGTAGATTGCCCAACCTTCCTTCTGAGGAGTGGGTGGGGGGTTTGAACCACCAGCTTTCTGGTTAGCAGTCAAATGCCTTAGGCACTACGCTACCAGAGCTCCCTACTTAACTAGGTTGTTGTTGTTGTTGTTGTTATGTGCCGTCGAGTCGATGTAGGTGGGGTAAATCATTTAATGTCTGGGAGCTTCAACTTCCTCATGTATAAAGTGGGGATGAGTGCCTGCTTCATAGGATTGTCTTGAGAATTGCATGATTGAATAAATATGAAATGCTTTCCTATGTACCTGACACATTATAAGGATTCAATAAATATTAGCTCTTATTAGTAGTAATAGTACAAATCCCAGGGTGGGCTAGATGATTCCTGTTTAATGAAAGCCCTTCAAAATAGTGTAGGTTTTGCACTTAGTTCATAATGTTCTTCTTTTATCTCTTCTCTGAATATGACTGTGTCTAATATATTGTGCAGAGAGTTTGAGTGTGCTTGTATTTTAAATCAGCTATTTCTTAAACTAATTGGCAGTAATTTGGAGGTGATTCTCCTTTGGGAAAAGGGTCATGGGGTCAGTTTTACTTAATGATAGAGTTTTCTTGTAGAGATGCCACTTGACTATTCTTTGGGACATGGATCATACATTGACGTTTGAGTTTTATTTTCAGTGGGTGGTCATCCTAGAGCATTTTTGAAACTTTCTCGTTGTTGTTAATTACTGTGGAGTCAGTTCCAACTCACGGCAATCCCAAGTGTGCAGAGTAGAACTACTCCATAGGGTTTTCAAGGCTGTGACCTTTTGGAAGCAGATTGCCAGGCATCTGGGTGGATTTGAACTACCAGTCTTTTGACTAGTAGTCGATCACTTAACCATTGGTGTCACCCAGGGACTCCTTTGAAACTTTACAGTTCTGCTGGGTAAATATGGTTCTTTAGGCTATTTCAAACCAATAGTTTTTGTGATAATAAACCCCCATAATTGAGATCTTTAAGTTATGATCTTTCCTTTTAACAAATACTCCTTTGCTTATCACTTTTCTCAAGCAGCTACCTAGGGTATTATACTATGTTTAAAAAACATTTTAAAACAACTTTTTATTATACAAGTGTTATATGCTTATTGTAGAATATTTACAAAACACTGATAAAAAAGAAAAAAAACACCTGCGTCTTGTTGTATCACCTTATATTCTCATCACTGTTAATAGATATAGTCCCTCCAATCTTTTTGCTTATTTATGCATACTATAAATAACATCATGTTTTATATCTTTCTTTTTCACTTAGTGTTTTGTCATGAGCACTTCCCCATGTTATTAAAAAGTCTTCAAAAACAATATCCATGGCTAATTAACATTTTATTACATAACTTTAACATTCAGGTTTTTGCCTCATTTTTAATATTATCGCTAATGCTTTGATGAACATTTCTGGTAAATAATTCACTTATATATCTGATTCTTTTCTTTAGTGTAGATGACTAGAAGTTGTAGTAGTAAATGACTAGAAATTTAGGTCAAATTTAATCAAATTGCTTCCTATAAAGGTGTACCAAGCTCATCCCATTCTCTCCCAGTTGTGTTTATTACCATATATGAGAAGCAGGCATTGGTATCTCTGTTATAGTTTGTACCTTTTCTGTTCCTAGTGAGACTGAACACTTTTTCACATGCCAGTTGGTCTATAGTATTTATTTTTCAGTGAAATATCTTTGATCCTGAACTTAATTTTTTGTTTTGGTTTTCCCTTTTGTTTTCCCAGAGTTCCCCATTTATCAAGCGTATTCACTGTGTCGTCTTTGTTGCAAATATTTTAACTTGGTTTATAGATTATAGTCATTTAATTATACTATTTTAATTGCACCAAATTTTACTTTTCTATGTGGTCCAATCTTTACTCTGTGATTAATTTTTTTTACTCCTTTTTTTTTTTTTTTTTAAAGATTTCCCCATTAAAGAGCAATTACGTATTCTACCATATTTTTCTCTAGTTTATGGCTTCATTTTAAAAATTTAACTCTTTATACATCTGGGATTTTTGTTGGGATATGGTGCATAACTGTCTTGTAATCAATAAATAGACACTGTCTTAAAATCAGATTGTGGTAGTTAAGGTTATGTGTCAACTTGGCTGGGCCTGGTTTTGAGTGGCTGGGCAGCTGGATGTAGTTATTCTCCCTGGTGAGGCTGGTAATCAGCTCCATGGTGGAATCTACTGGAGCAGCTGAGTAGCTGCCTTAGAGATGTGGTCTGCTTCCTGTGTATAAGGAGAAGCATTGAGAAAGGTCTGTAGCTTTTTGGCATGTTTGGACTCTTTGTGTAGCTGAGTCTTCAGTTAGCAGCCTATCATGTTTTCCTGCTCATCCTGGGACTCTCTCTGGACTTGAATTAGTAGCCAGATGTGTTGTGTGGTAATATTGGAACTATGCCATTTTATTTGTCGACCTAGGGCTTGTTAGCCTCAGCAGCCAGCAGCTACTTGAACTCCAGTGGGCCGGGAGCAAGAGGCAGAGCTGAAGCCCAAGGTCAAGGGGCTTTCACCCAGCCCCTAGAGCTGGCATCTTGAACTCAGGACTTGTAGTGGAACAGAATAAACTCCTGTTTTATTAAGATCATCTACCTGTGGTATTCCTGTCAGACCTGGCAGCATGAAGTAACCAAAACCAGCAGCATACAGGTAACCAAAACACAGGTAAAGCAGGACGTTTAGATAATTGACCATCACCACGAAGTATATCTTTCACTTTTCTAATCTATCATTTCACAGATACTTATTGTGGCTTCTTATATGGAAGCAGGAGCCTTGGTGGTGCAGTGGTTAAGCTCTCAGCTGCTAACTGAAAGGTCAGTGGTTTGAACCTACCAGCTGTTCCATGGGAGAAGGATATGACATTCTGCTTCCATAAAGATTATAGCCTTGGAAACCCTATGGGGACAATTCTACTCTGTCTTACAGGGCCACTGTGGGTCAGAATCAACTTGATGGCAATGAGTTTTTTTTTTTTTTTTCCCCCTTCATATGGAAGCACTTTTATAGACTTCTGTCTTCCTCAGAAAGGAGCTCTGGTGGTACAGTGGTTAAGGTATTCAGCTGCTAACCAGAAGATCAGCAGTTTGAACCCACCAGTTGTTCCACTGGGAAAAGATGAGGCAGGCAGACTGCTTTTGTAAAGATTTACAGCCTTGGAAACCCTATGGGGCAGTTCTGTTCTGGTAGGTTGCTATGAGTCAGAATCAATTTGATGGCAGTGGGTTTGTTTTGGTCTTCTTCAGAAGCCAATCACTGCTGTACTTGATATGGCCTGCTATGTAGGCTGGGACCTGCAGGCTTCCAACACTAATCTTGTCCTCAGCAGAAAATATTTTAAGAGCCTTAATATAAATATAGGTGGGATGTGGCTTCACTCATGCCACCATTATTCCATTGGCTAATGTCACTGTGGTAACTCTGAATACCACATGCTTATCAAATTCTAGCTTTTTCTTAATCTCTGCCATGTCAACAGGGTCCACAAGGCTTTTGTCTCAGCTTCCTCTTTAGTACTAAAGTATCCTGATACAAATCAGTTTTTACCCTGAGTCTTCTTAGTTCCTATATAGTTTATTCTTGGAGGAGTTGGATCTTTCTGTCATTGTCTCCAGCTGTGTAACCCTTAGCAACAGGCCAACCATCTGGAACTATGGCATCATCTCCTACTTGATCCTGTTTTCTCCCTTGACTTCTTCCTCTTTCAACCTTACTCATCATACTGGGTCTCTTTGGCTATCAAAGCTTGCTGAGGCCAAGCCCTGATTCTCACTTTTCTTTTGAACACTGTGCCCTGAATGTGCTCTACCACTGGGTGGCGCACCTGACATCCAGGCTGCTGCTAAGGGAAATTTCAACTCACCCACAGAAATTTACTGTTTGACTAAAATGTTACGGAGGCAGTGCTATGAAGCCTCTTTCTTTTATTTTTTTGTCGGGGGTGGGGGGGGGGGGGGGGGAGCAGTAGGGGTTAAC